TAAGGCCTTTGACACACCTCGCTTGTTTCAGATTATGCGCTTCTTGATTCGGGAACGTAAGCCGCAGGGGGGTTTAGGAGCATTTTCACTTGAAACACTACATTCGGTTGCGTTCTAAGGTAGGTCCCACTTTACCGCCCACGCCGAAAACCTGTCTAAATCGTTTTGTGTTGGGTGATGATTGGACGAGCCGCCAACTATCTTGACGTCGTCTGCCTAGACGAGGCATGGGTTTTCAACCTCTTCGGCAAGATCATTGATACATATAAGGAAGAGAAGTGGTCCTTTTATTAACCCTTGGGGGACACTACTAGTTGAGTTCCCTTCTCAGGAGATCGTGAATCAAATTTTTACATGGTACGTGTCATCATGGAGAAGATTGGCTATCTAGTACATACCTGAACCTCTTACTTTATGCAGTAAGAGTACGTGGTAAATAGAGTCCAACGTCTTTTGAAAGTCAAGGTAGCACGCTTCAACTGTTTCTCCTCTGCCTCATCTGTTTGTTAATTCATCTAAAAACACTAAGAGGTTGGTCGAACAGGATTGCCCCTTGAGAAATGAGTGCTGTGCTTTAGAAAAGAACAGCACGCGTATTACATACGCTGCTAGTTTTTCTTTCTTATTATTCCCTCCATCACTTTACGAACCATGCTAGTCAAGTTAATCGGATGTTAATTTTCTAAATTAGTTGCATCACCTTTTTGTGGCTGGGAGCTACCGTTGCTCTGCGCCAGTCGCCCGATTTTAAGCCTGTTGACATCGACTGCTTGATGTTAGGGGTTCGGTGATTACCGGTGTATTGACCGATCGTACTCTGGTACCCACAACATGGATATATTGCTCAACCTGTGAAAATATTTTCTGTAAAACCCAGACAATCCAAATTGGATTCAAATTTCGTGAATTCCACACTTCAGTCACCTAACACCATCCACCTCATTCATGCACAAACATTTGACGTTCCATCTCCTTTGTATAGTTACACAACATTCCTATCGTTTGACTTTGTTTATTTGTGACTCACCCGGACCCTATTTGTTTTAATCGCGACCTGACCGTTCACATTGGACTCGTTCGAGTGCAGCGTAATGATGAGCGTGCTACTCCCGCCCAAACGCATTTCTTCCATTCAGATTTATTGAATTACGCTCACAGTAACACTTGGCCCTTTTTTAAGATGCTCCAAGATATTTTGGGAAACTAGATTTTAGGGGTCTCGTCCAGGCAGCCTCAGCTATCTGTTGGGGGGGGGACAGAGAATATCGGTGGAGGAAGACTGGTGGGTCATCAAAGGCAGCACACTTACATTGACGGACCTGTTCGCTCCTCTGAGAAGGTTACGTCGACAGGGGAAACCACCTTGGTGAACGGAGATGGCGCACAGGGCGCAATGCATAAAAAGGAGAGCCTTGAGGGCCTTCAAGGAAACAAACGGCCACAGCCGCATGATAGTCTTCAAACGGGCAAGTGAGAAAGCCCTACGGGTTCAACTTAGCTGTCGCCTGCAATATGAAGTCCGCCTTGCAGAAAAGGCGCGGACATGTCCGAAGGTCTTCTACAGCTATGTCCACTCCAAGGCAGCAGCAAAAGAGGCCGATGCCACGGGCACCCACTCAACCACAAACTCTGTCAAGTCGGCAGTTTTGCGAGAGTTTTTCGAGCGAGTGCACCGGGCGGATTACGGGAGGGAACCTGAGAATGTGGATTCAACTCTGACAGGCGAAATGTCGCATTTACCATAACCCCCGCAGATGTGAGGAAGGAGCTTCAGGAACTAATACCGTCCAAAGCGGCTGGACCGGNGGTCCTAGGCTGAAGTGTTGGCCGAACCCCTAACCAAACTGTTTAACCAGTCACTGTGCGCAGGGGTGTTACCCACGGACTGGAAGGTAGCCGAAGTTGTTCCTATACTAAAGTGGGTTGTAGGCAAGACGTCAAAAACTACCGACCAGTGACTCTGCTATCAGTGGCACTAAGGGTCATAGAGAGAATCATTAGGAAGTATATAGAAGTCCACTTAGAAGTAAACGAGATGATTTCGGCAGGTCAGCATGATTTTTGTAAATGGAGACCATGTCTATCAAACCTACTGTCGTTTCTGGATGAAGTGACAGAGAGGATGGATCGTGGGGAGCGGATCGAAGTTTGCTATCTGGACTTTCAGAAGGCCTTTGACTCGGTAAACCATGTATTTCCAAACCTAAAGATGGCAGCCCTAAAAATTGCCCAAGGGGTACTCCACTGGACAAGGGTATACCTGACGGATAGGCAGTTCTATGTAAAGGTAGGAAATGGAAAATCAGGCCTGGCTTCTGCTACCAGCGGTGTTCCTCAGGGCTCAGTCCTTGGGTCACTGCTGTTCTTGATCTATATGAACGACCTGACGCAGAGACTGCACTGTTCCAGTTACTTGTTTGTCGATGACCTCAAGGTAATAGGGTTTCCGGAATCAGAGGAAGTCCAGAGGTATCTGGACCTTCTTCAAAACCCGGAAATATTGTGGGAGCTTCCCTAGAACGTAAGTAAGTGCAGGTAGCTACTACTGGATCAAGACATCAGTGAAATGAGGTTCTTGGGATCTTCTGGTTCTGAATCCATCGACAGGGCTACAGTGGTTCAGGACCTCGGTGTACAAGTCAGCAAGAACTTTAAAACCTTCGGCCAGTGTATAGCTGCTGCATCAAGGGCAGATCGAGCGCTGTTCCAACTTTTAAGGACAGTAGCCTCTAGAGACTCAAGATGCTGCTACCACTGTACAAAACTCTGGTAAGGCCGCATTTAGAGTATTGCATCCAGTCTTGGGCTACAAGCCTGGTTCAGGATTCCCAAACACTAGAGCCGGTACAACGCAGGTTTACTCAGATGATCGCTGGTATAAGAGGGGTGCCGTACAAAGATAGGCTAAGGAGCCTAAACTTATTCTCCTTACAGCGGAGGAGACTACGGGGTGACCTGATCGATGCCTATAAACAACTTAATTGGAGCTCGGTCACGAGCAGGGTTCTTCTCAGATGCAATGAAAACTCGGCTCTCAGGGGCCAAGAGTGGAAATCAATGAAAACAAGGGTATTCAGAAACATCAGAGAAAAGTTCTTTGCCCGTAGAGTAAATAAACCATGGAACAAACTGCCTCAAGAGGTGGTCTCACCACCAACGTTAGCCCAATTTAAATCCAAGCTAGACAAAAATTGGGCGGCGGTATTCCCACAGGTAGCCGTGTAATCAGAGGCGTTTTATCCACGGGATGGCCGTTCTGAAGCCCCGTGTGCTCTATCTGTTACATCTCTCACCGTTTGCTCCTGTGTGAACACAGGAACCGCGATTGACAACTGACCGACGATAAGCCTGTGGTAGGCATGACGGTGTGCATGCAAGCTAATATGCATCGATGACCCTGCATACGTGAAAGAAGCATCATGGCATAAAGTAATTTCCTCCAAAATTAGCCGAAGTCATATGAAGGTCAGGGGAGACAGGTGAGAACGGTGAGCCCCATGTG